AGGTTTTCCGTTTCCCTGACTCCTTCTCTCTCCAGTCCCTGATTCGTACTTTCTTTGATAATTCAGGGAGCTGTCAGAGGTCAGATGACAGGCTCACTCTGCTGTCATGGCTGGGTGCTGTCTAGATAAGTCCATGTCACTGAGCAGAATTACCCTGCAGAGCTGCGTAGGCCATCAGCTTAATGGGAACAGGCCTTCAAGCCTTTTCTCTTGTGGAACCACTGGTGGGTTCAAACACCAACCTTGTAGTTAGCAGTGAAGCGCTTAACCTTGTACTACCAGGGACTCCTTTTGTGCTACCCATCCATAGCCAGACCGAGTGACAGACATGTGGTGCTGGAGGAGAAGAACCACGTAAACAGTTACTTAACTATCATGATCATAGGTGAGCGAGAAGACATAAACATTCAGACACATATCTCAAGTCCCGTATGCTTCATACTAATGAAGTAAATAACAAGTTAGACACAGAGCCAAGCGCATAGAGGAGTCAGCTGAAAACAAAGAGAACTTAAATACGTTTTGTTGTGGTGGTGTTGTGTGTTTTTTTTGGGGAGGGGGGGTTTGAATTAAGCTCAGTCAATGTTTTGAGAAATAGAGAGGGTCCCAAGTGACCAATTTTTTTCTCTTTGAGATTACATTTCAATAAAGGAAAGAACGTAAGCAACGTAAAAATAAGCTTGGTTGGTTTGGCTGGTACCATTTTCATACATCTAGGGGAGAAGGTAGTAAATAAAGTTTCTGCAACCCTAAGTGCTGCTTAGAGGAAAATTAAATCACTGAGTGATGCCAGGACTGATTATTCTACTGCACTTTCAAAGCAAGAGATTGCTGTCTGTGGGTCCAAAGTGGTTTCATATGGACTGCCACAGTTGTGGTTTACGCTTGAAAGTATAACCTGTCAAATTAAAAGCAGGCAAGGCCGATGCCCCTACTGGTTCCACTTTCTACTGTCTACAGTTGTGTCTACAAGTTCAGCATTCTTATATCCAGTTAAACCCTGCTATTCGGAGAGCAGAATCTCGAAACGTCTCCGTTACCCTGGCTAGAGAAGATTTTCGTTAGGACACGAAACTCCAGGAAACGGCCCATCTAATGTTCATTGCATAGCTTGCACAGAATTTCACAAGGCCTATTTTCTTTGTACTTTATCTGTTTTACCACGATGCGGACTTACCCCAATGCAATTTTAGATTCTATACATAAGGGAACGGGGATGACAGGACACCTACTGAATAAGTGGCCCAAGCTTTTTCTGGCCTGTGTTTCCGGAGAGTCCACAGATTTTCACTTGTCCCTTATTGACTCATCATTTTCCAGACCCACAGTAGCCTGCTATTATGAGCTTAGTATTACAAAATGCTCCATTTCTTTTCTTCTCCGTGATTGTGGAATGCCTTTCTGGGCAATGGGCTTGGTTGACATTAGACTTTCCCATTAATGTTTCCTATAGAGCCTTTCCTTAACAAACCTTTTTGCTTAAGGCCCATTTTGATAATCATGTTTTTAAAAATAAGGCCTCAACAATATTTGCTTTTTATGTAGTGTATCATAAGTGAAACCATGCTACTAAACAATCATATCCTGTTTAGGCCATAATGACATCAGAAATATATGTTTATCATCTGCTTTGGACAACTTAGCATGCTTTTGGCCCAAGGCGAATTTGAACTCAAACCATTTGCAGTTGCCCAAAACCAAGATAACCACACATTTCTAAGGTAATTGATACCTAAAAGGAACACTGCCTTTAGATCACAGCTCATGATCTAAGCATATGAATTCTTTAAAGAAGGTTGTTAAAGTTTATAAAGCATGTATGTCTATTGGACTTCCTCCAAAACTTAACATGACATAATTGTATTTTAGCAGGCCTAGCCTATAGACCATGATAAAGTAGGCACTTGGTACAACCTTCGAGAGTTCTGCAATTACCTTTCTTGTCTAATTTCAACAGAAGGGGAAAATGGTGACTTCTTACATGACAGTAATCTGAACAATAAGCATATTACCTTGTGGTTTGTAAGTCACTCAAATCAAATCAATCGTTTTTTTAAAAAACAAAAAGTATTTACCCTCTTGTTAATTTCATGCATAGATAGCCAAAATAAGTGGAAGGCCTGTAATATCTTCCATATACTGTTAAATACACGATTCTGTGAGCACTGCATTCAAATACACAGTTCACACAGATCTAGAGAATCCAACTCTCTGGTAATAACTCTGTGCTATTGTGATGGAAGGCATGTCACTGCCTTGAATAACTACCTCAGCCAGAAAGCCAACTCCAAGCCTGCAAGTCTAAGCTGAAAATAGTTCTTCACAAACCTGTTGGCATCAAAGGAAGAAGGGTCACTTTGCTCACAAGGAAAACTCAAATTTGAACAAAAAAAATACTGAGTGCATTATAAATAGCTTGTATGGACTGAAATAACGTTACTAAATGGAAGCTCCAAAAGTAAACTTGGAACCTCATTTTCAGAGGAGGAAACAACGGAACAGAGAACTGAAGCTGGCGCCCAAAGTCAGCTCGACCCCTTCTCCAACGCTTCGCCGGCTTTCATTCATAAAACCAATGACTTGGCGCTTCTGAAAACATCGGAAGAACATCAGAACCCAGTGGCGCGGGAACGGCAGGGTATAGGATGTTCCTATGAAAAGGAAGCACTGTACCTCCATTCTCTCCTGTTTCACTTCATCAACGTCATCGTCTTCAAGCATTGCTAACAGTTCTCCTGTCTGGTCAATGGAGCTGAGAAACTCTTGAGCAAGCTTTTGCCTTTTGTTCGTATTGCTGCTGCCAGTCAGTTTGTCTGCACAGAGATAGGGGAAGGAAAACAGAAACACCTATAGGTTTACATCACTAGCAAGTGTTACATGTTTGACTGTAGCATGTGAGATTCAGAATGGGGATTTTCTCAAAATAATCTTTAAAAAGAGAATGCTTGCATCAAAAAAGAAAGAAAGTATAAGTCATCTAGAATTAAATCATTCATGGATGTCGCGTTTAAGACTGAAATAATAAACCCCCCAGATGATCAACTGCCACAGTAACTGTGAATGGATCTAAGTCTTTTACAACACAGGGGGCTCCCAGATTTGGAAAAAGAATCTTGCTATGAAGTATTTATACCAAAACATTTAAAACAATGACAGTATTTTTTTTTAAAAAAAAGGTAAATACAAGCAAAGGAAGCCACACTGGTAACATTAATGCTAGAAATTATAGTTTCAAAGAAATGAAGTAGAATATTACCTACCAATGAAAGGACGATTACAAGAAAGACTAACTATAACTTTATGC